ATAGGGAAATCAAGTCCTTAGCAGAATTATTGTCAATGCAGGGTCTTGCAGAAGTGGTTATAGGCATTTGGAAAGCAGGACAATTTTGCGAGTAGAATGCAAACTCTTTAAAGTTTTCTAAATTCTAAATTAGCTTGCTGTTTAAAACAGTAATCCTGGCAGTGGCATTTTAAGCTAGGACATCCCCATTTTCTCTCCCTAAAGCCTCATTTCATCCCTCTACATTATCCTGTTTGGTCACTCCATGCTTCATATTACCCTTACAACTATTAGGATAGAATTAAGCTGATGATCATCCATGTGCAGAGAAACCCTGAAGAGTCTTAATTTTCTGCACTAGTTCATCTGTTAATGGAGAACTGAATGCTCTCTTTTGGTCCATTGCAAATTAAGCAAACCCATCTCACCTCTACACAGGAAAATCCACAGCAAGAGGCAAATCTTCAATTAAAATAAAGGTATAAGGTGAAGTGTAAGACAGCTTACCAAGATGCACCAAGACTAATGATCCTAACTTGTATGATTTTCCTTCAACCTCTTACCCAGCTGAGGGTCCAGGTTCTTGGGTAGAGACTAATTTCTCTGTCACCAACTAAAATCTGTAATCAATTTCCTGGCTAGCTTCATTTTACTCAAATGAAATACACTAGAAAATCCTTAGTTTCTCTTATTCCAAGAAATGGGACCACCACGATTTAATTTAGTTCAAGTGGCTAGATGTAACCACCTTCTGTGGAATTTTCAATAGTAGCACTTACAAAATTCTCAAACAAAAGGTTAATTGCCTTAATGATTTGCTTTTATAATACAGAAGGTGATTCTGGCTGGTTTCACAGATAGAATACAAATAGGAAGAACAAAGGTAGCTGCTTCATCACATATTTGGATTAATTGTGTCATGGCCACTCTCTTATTTTCTTCACCATCTTCAATCCAGACCTAATAACAACTAATTTCTAATATAATTCCCTTGCATGATTAACTATAAAAACACTTATTTAACACATCCTTTATCAATCCTGAAAACCTTATTTAACACATCCTTTATCATCCTGAAAACCTTTTTCAGGTTTTCGTAGTCAATTCTAAAAGTCCCTGTCATTGAGACTACATGTAATTGAACTCTGTGTGCTTTATGATATTTTCTCAAGTTCTGTGCTAATTTCTTTTTTTTTTTTCCCTTAAAGATTTATTTATACAAGCACTGGGTACGGTCAGAAGCGCGGGAGGGTGAGAGAATTCACCAGAGCCAGAGAGGAGAGCAGAACAGGCAGAGTGACGAAATACACTGCTGAGGGGAGCAGCAGGCGCGGCAGGAGAGGTCTGTCGTGCCATGTGGGACCCTTGCCCGGTAGCCGGGGATTGAACCGGCGCTGCAGAGGCTGCAGGCAGCTTCGCAGCCCAGGACTCAACCGCTGCGCCACTGGGGAGGCCTTGTGCTAATTTCTTTCCCTAAATGTCAGCCCTTAAAATTCTCCCTCTCGGGCCTCACTGGTGGTGCAGGGGTAAAGACAGCACTATCAAGTGATTGGCAGCCACTGCAGTACTAGTTCAATCCCAGGCTGGCCAGGGAGCAACCCATACGGCTCAGCAGACCTCTCTTGTCTCACCCGCTTGTCCCCTCAGCAGTGTGTTTCGGTGGAGCCACATGTTCTGCCCCCACACCTCTGGCCTATACCCCAGTTCTTGTATGCATAACTGAATCTTTAAAAAAAAATTCTCCCTTTCCCTATTTTGCACTTCTCTTGAGAAATTCATATATTTCCATTTACTGCTCTGTTAGAAACTTTAAGAAAACTGGTTTTCTCCTTTATAGTTGTGTATGTTCACAGGGTTAGCTGACTGAAAAGTGAAGTGCTACAGAGGTTTGGCAACTCAGACACTGTTCTTTCAAGGATTTCACTCATGAGAACTTAATAAAAATGTTAGACCTTGGAGGAGACTTGATTAAGCACCAGGAAGCAGATAGATTGTTGGGAGTTGAATGTAAACTTTTTAAAGAACTCATCTCTAACTTAATCTGGTTTTGAACTCAGGAATGATGTTACGTGGCTTATTTTTTTTTTATAAAGCTCAATCTACTCTTGAATGAGGGTAGGAGAAGGAAAAAGCAGGAAAGAGAAATCTATTCAAGGGATAGCAATGTATCAGAACCCCTAAAATTAATACTCAGTGATCCTTTGCCCGTGATCTTTGCCCTTAGAACCAATGAGACTGTGCTATAGGTTATGTTACATGGCAACAGTGTTGGGGGTATGACTACTGCAATTATTTTATCATATATATAAGGCTTCATCTCACTAGCAGAACCACTGGAGAGTTTCCCCCTCCCCATGAAGTAAGTGCCCATGAAGCTCTTGTGGGAAAAATCAGCAGGAGACCTTGAAGGGAAGTCTCCATCAAGAGAGTAAAGCCTCCATTTTACAGCAAAAAGTAAATAAATTCTGCCAACAAACTGAGGGCATTTGGAAGAAAATATTTCCACAAATGAGCCTCAGATGAGACTGCTTCTCATAGCAGCCTGAATTGGAGCCTGGAGAAGTTCCAAGAGCAAAATCACAGTAAAACTATACCCAGATTTCTGACTAATGAAACTGTGAGATTTAAAAAAAAAAAAAATGTTGTTTTAGGCAGTAAGAGTAGTAGAAATTTACCATGCAGCAACAGAAAGCTTGTAAAACCATAGTTAAGGTTAGGGTGGTAGTTTGAAATTAGAGGCAATAAGATTTAATAACTGATACAAAGAGAAAAATTAAGATAGATTCAAGATTTGTTGTCTTTTTCCTTCTGTTGTGCAAGTATTTACTGAGAAGGCATTGCTATTACAAAGGCATTAGTGAGATGGGAACTGCAAAAGGAGCAGCTTTGAAGGAGATGGAATCAAGTGGCCATTTTTAAAGAATTTAATTTTGAGATATGTCAAGAGATCAGGACTAGGAGGTTGCATGCAAAAATCTGGAATTCATTGGAAATAGGAGGTCAGTGATACCCATTTGGGAATAGTCAGTATTTATGGCCTATATAGCGTTGAGGTCAGTATCTCAAAGTTGTAGTTAGAAATATTGGAAACCAGAAGTCAGATGGAAAAAGATGTCACTCCAAAGAGGCCAGCCAATGACAGCAGAAACTCAGGGACAGAATAACTCAGATTATTAGTTACTTAAAGGCAATCAACATATTTCATTCAACCTCTACATCTTCAAGAACTTGACATAACTGTCCGTAAACCAGAAAACACCAGAAAAGGCTAGTGGCTGGCAAAGAAGTCACAAGAATGTAGTAAAAGAAAACTGTCCTGAATGGGAACACAGAGGGAGAGATTTATAGTAGTGATTTTTCCATCAGAGAGATCTGATCCTCAACTGGCACACTTGTCTTTCTTCTTGCGGAGTGTGTGTGAATTCCTCTGAAGCTGAAGTAGAGGGATCTTGGAGATGCCCAGGTTAGGAATAATTTAGGTGCTTTAAATTCTAGATTTGACTATAGGATAAAATGGAGACTGTCAAGGCCCCTGAAATTCCCTCTGATATGAGAGAGGAAGTGGGTAGCAGACCTATAGCTCAAGAAGACTAGGTTAACAAAAGACAGGGCTCAAGTCAACTATGGATCACAGTGCCCTCCAGAAGTGTAAGAGCTATAGTCTTTTCATTTTTCAAAAAAGAAAAATAATTTATTCAAGAACAATAAAACTGTTTTCAGAAATATTCAGAAATATTATGTAAAAATTCATTTTAAGCTTGTCTTCTAGTACTACATGAGGAGTATTGTAAAAGATATTAAAAAGAAAAAAACTGAAGGTAACCACTACAGAATCAATAGTCACCTATGTCCACTTTTTGGCGGTATTAACATTCATAAATAATTACATCTTAAAACTATTATAGATTACAAAAGCATGTTTTTTTTTAACATTCCCAATAGATTCCCTACAATAACTGTATGTATCCATATATATGGTATAAAAAGTAAATTTTGATCAAATTCTGGAATAAAGATAAGTATCGGGTTACATTAATTGAATGTGTATATTATGCTCAGCACTTGGATGTGTGTTAATATGGCCAGTAGGGGCCTCCCTGGTGGCATGAGGGTTAAGATGCAACCTATGAAGTTGTCTGCAGCCACTGCAGCACAAGTTTGATCCCCAGCTGGCCAGGGAGCAACCCACATGGCGGGGCAGTCCTCTCCTGTCTCACCCGCTGCTCCCCTCAGCAGTGTACTTTGGTCAATCTGCCTGTTCTGTTCCCCACTCTGTCTCTAGTGAATCCTCTCATCCCCCACACACCTGTGGTCTGTACCCCAGCTCTTGTACGCATAAATAAATAAATCTTTAAAAAAAAATATGTCCAGTAAGTGGCACAGTGTGGCACTGAAAACAGGCAGTAGGATCAAAACCCTGCCTCTCCTTTCAGCCCTGCTGTCTCCACCCCACTGTTCTTTCCCTTTTACTCTGCATGTCAACTCAAATTGACTAATCTATAAATTCACACTCTTCACATTAGATAAATGCTTTAAAAAAGGTAAAAATTAAGTCACTCTGACATATGACAACTTTGTAGGAGCATTTGGAAGTGTTTCCTGGGTTGCTATGAGATAAATTATATACCCAAATAACGTACTGTCAGGTACATGACTCCCTTACCACTTGGATGGATGCAATAACATAGTAGGTTCTTTCCACCACTAATTTACTGTTGCTGTGAGATTTGACATTTTGTCTGGGTGAAATTCTATCTCTAGAGGGAATTTTCAATGGATAAAATTAATTTCAGTCATTCTGAACTCTCAGCAAGTCTGGGTCAGTTTTAGAAAAAGACTAACACTGTCAACCAATAAGACAAAAATTATATATTTTAGCTTGAATTTTTTTGAAAGCAAAGAAATGGCAATTCACATAGTTTTTTGATACTAGAAAGAACTTTCAGAGATTAAATATTTATAAAGCATATCACCAAAAAAAGGGAAAATCTAAAGATGTTAATTCTTTCAATTGAACACAGATTAAAATATCCTCCCATGAAGAAATTCGGGACCAAGATGGTGCATAGGTCATTCCTGTCTTCACTCCCTTTCACAAGAACTATTCAAGAACAAGACATCACTGCAAGAATCCTAGAACATGTGGGTGAAGCATCCCCCTACACATTACAAACCAAATGGACTGCATTGGAAGGGTAAGAGAAATGTGTCCATCCCTTAGACCAGTACAGCAGCACAGAGAGGTTTTCCCTGATTCTCTAGTTACTCCAGTGGGAAAAGAGAATATAGGGGGACAGCAGGCCTTAGCCCAAACTTTGTATGTCTCTTTGGGGGAACCCCTACTCTGTATCTCCCATAGCACAGAGTAGGGGTTCCCACAAAGAGACAAACTGGAACAGAGTAGTTTGAGGGGGCTCGTGACCACCACACAGCACATGGGACCTTGGCAAACCAAGTTCATGCCTGTAGTGGCCAAACACTGATGCAACCCACAGCTTGCTCATCTGCACAACCAAATTAAGGATATACTTTGCCCAGGGAACCTGGCAAAGTGCTGATCTGCCTGATTGGGATTCTCGTATGAGGGGTTTTGCCCGCCCTAAAGCCCAATTTGTACACATGCAGGAAAAGTGCTGAGTCAGTCTCCTTCTAATCCCATCTGACTAGCACTGTCACAAAAATATACACAATAAAAACGAAATCAAAGTTGTTTTCCCATCAGGGAATACTGAGAGAATCTGTCAACAGTACATCCAGAACTCAAGAAAACTTAGAGGGTGGTATTCAGAGTGAATGGAAACAAAACCAGATGGTTAGTTGGGGCCCCAAATGAAGGAAAAAAGAAAGATCACTGGACATGGTAAACGCATTGATAAATAAAGTGTTCCTTATTTTGAAAGGGAATCATTTGACTATGTAAAGCAAAACTAGTAGCACTGTACTTTTACATACTAATATCTAGAAATTATATATACATATGCTACAAGTGATGGAAGAGATAAATGGAATAATACTGTTTAAGGTTGCTATATTATGTGTAAAGAAGTATGATATTAATTCAAAAAACTGTGATATTATATGTAATATTATCCCTAAAGGGATTCCTCACATTTCTCTTTGTCATTGGGACAAAGAGAAAATGGAAAGATAGTAGACTTAAACACACATGTAATATATTAATTATATTAAAGGCTAATAAACTAAAAATTCCATTTTTAAATTATCTGACTGAATAAAAAATAAGATTTTCTTTTATAAACAAGAGGTTGAAAGTAAGTAGAAAGGAAATCCTGTGTGCTCCTAGAATTCAAATAATATTTGTATATGAATACCAATCAATAAAATTTTAATTAAAAAAAGATTTCCTCTGCATAGCTGAATTCTTCTTCATTGCTGGATAGGTAGTTACAACAAGAGATTCATGCCTGCAAATGTATTAATAGACACCTTAGATTTTCAAGGTGTAGCTAAAGCAGAACATATAAGCAGCCCTATAATTTGAAGAGGATATTAAAGGTTGGTTTTCTGCAGCTATGACAGGGTAAAATTTGGGCTCGTACTCCAGGTATGGTGAATATGCTACTGCTTTGTCCTTATTTACAGGATGAAATGTGAGCCATAGTCCCTCCCAAATGCTCGTGCTAAGACTTGATTTCATTTTGGACAATTTGGGCTAGGTTTTCAAAAGCCTCTGCTTCATGTTTAGACTTTTACTACTAATATTAGGTACAGCCTTTGGTGCCAAACCATGAATGAAATTTTTTTGGTTGACAGCACCCAAAGCTAGGGGGGGAAAGATTTAGAGGCAGTAATACCTATTATACAAATAAGACACAGTGAAAAGATGAATGATCATTCAATGACTGTGACTGCATTCAGATATAGGGTCTTTAAAGAGATAACTTCAAATAAGGTTATTAGTGTGAGCTCCAACTTAATATGATTGGTGTTCTTTTATGAAGAGAAAACATAGTCCTGCACAGAAGGACAATCATATGAGGAGACAGTAAAGACAGCCATCTACAAGGCAAGAAAAAGAAACCAACCCTTGATTTGGACTTCTCGACTCCAGAACATGAGGAAATTTGTTGTTTAAGCCACCTCCTCTGTGGTACTTTGTAATGACAATGAGAGCAGACAAATAACAAATCCCACTGTTGGGATCTGTTGTGAAAATTGAAGCTTAGAGAGCACAAATGACTTAGCAAGTTACTAGAAGGGTTGGGCTAGAACCTAAGTCACTTAGAAACTATCTCAATTTTAAATAAAATCTCAAATGTCTGACACAGAAGGAAAAAAAAAAAAACACCATTGTTTGTATGAAAACTCCTGAAGGGCTTGTGGTGGCCCACAGAGCACCATTCAAAAATAAATAGCCGACCTGTTACACAGAAGCTTGCTAAATAACTGTTTTGAACTTTCCATAGTCAACTATGACTAAAAATGAACAACACTTAGGGGTGGAAACAATTTCTGTTATTGATAGAAAAAGTCCTAATTATACCAATGGAAGCTATATTAGTAAATGACAGAAACTAAAATATTTTAAAACTACACCAGGAAGAAGAGAAATATAGATAATATGGTTAGCTAGCTCTTTCATACAGTAGGAAGCATAATATCTGAAAATAGAAGCAGCTATAAAAACATTAATCAGATGATATATAACTGCCAAAAGAACTAAAAAGAGCCAAAAGCCATGGCCTCTAGAGCTCAGGGAGGAGGGGGGAAGCAAGAGGCAGCAGACGCAATATCTGTGACAAACACAGCTCTAAGTAGCAGGATGTGTGCACGTTTGCATGTCTGAGGGTATATGTAACTTTCCCTTTAAAAGATAGAGGAGGAGAATTATGGAAAGTTTCCGTGGTGTTTAAATTATTAGCAGGCACAAAAACATATATAATTCAAATAAGAAAAGAATAGGATAAAAAAAATCACTCATTTGGTCTACATTGATTTCTACTACAATACAGAGGTCATCAAACCCCTTCCCCAGTTTTCACTAAGGTCAGTTTTCCCTAAGTAAGGCAGGAAATCACACTCTGGCCATGTTAGGGACAAAATAAAATCAAATCTATCCTTTCTTGTCACCCTGCACTGCACCTCCTGCCCCCCTACCAAAATAAATTTAACACACAAATAAATCATCTTACATACTAGAATAGAACCTTTCTATTCTCTGAAGTAGAAAATGTTAAATTTATACAAAATTTCATTTAGTCTTGAAATTCAATTTCAGGACACACCATTTATTTTACTTTCCTGGACTGTTGAAAAAAATTGAAACAAACTATGAATCTTTGTTTTCCCCTTAAATATAAAGATTAAAAAAGAACTAGAAACTTTACACTCCAAAAATGAAGTTGTAAGTGATCTATTAGATATAATAACTGGAAAATATATCTCACCTTTAATGATTATAAGAACTGAAAAAAGGTTTCTTGAAAATTACATGCCAAGATACAATATGAAATAAAACTTTGTAAGTGTTCTGCCATAAAATGATAGGATAGAAAATAGAACCTTTTATAACTGCTTATGTAGAATAACTTCAGCATGTAATAGAAACATAGTTGTTATATTTCACTGTCAAAATCTCAGTTAAGAACCATAGCTGTATTTGTCAAAACAATATATAGTATGTAGAGTCACTACATCTTTGATTCACAAGTAACGTCAATATAACTCTAATTATATTGAGGAAAAGCACCTAGGTTATTTTCAGGCTAGGAAACCGAAAGTGTAACGACTCTATTAAGTTCATGTAACTAAATTAGAGCTGTCAATATGAAGTACAAGATTGGTCCATAACAAAAGAACCACAAAACCTGTGCTCTCCGGCCTTGATATAGAAGGAAAACATGATATGCATTGTCCTGTCATCATCCACTGTATTACAGCTGTCTGAGCAGTACATTTTCCACAGGGACATTTCCATTTGGCTCTCTTCTTTCTGAAGCATCGCCAATTTTGTCAAACTATTTGGAAGGTTTCACTCCATTACTTTCAAAGCCACCAAATTTATGTGATCCAAAGTAATTTAGAAACACCTTGGAGCCGCCGGGAAATTTTAGACACCAAGTGAGTTTCTAAAGTGCTGAGTTACCTCTTAAGAGATCACATTTGTAAAATAAATGTTTCCAACACTAAACAGCCTTTACTGCAGTAGCTCTCTGAATGGTTAAGTAATCATGGAATAAACAAGTAGCAAAAATTAATGAGAAACAATTTCTATACACACAATTGAAATAGCATGAGAGGTAACACACTCCTGGAAGCTCTAGCTGCTCATTTAGACACAAATTCTGAAATTGTTTCCCCTAGAAACTGTGTTCTTGATCCTTTCAAGAATAAAAAAGGACCCACCAACGACATTAAGCAAAACAAGTAGATCTTTTTCAGTCATATGAGTAAAAGGACAAAATTTGCAGACATTCTGAAAGTTTTCTTAGACTTCACTAGTACACATAACATTCAGCCCACACACACCACCTTATCCTATAATCATTTTCATACACTTTCTGATTCAAACAGAATTTAAGCTAATACCTGCCTAATTATACACCTATGATCTGGAGATAAGGGCTATGGGATAGTTATTCCTTCCGAATCATGGAATTGAAAAGGGAAATGACCAGTGGGGTCACATAATTATGTCCCTCCTCATAAAAACTAGAAACCAATTATATAGTTCCTTGCTTTTACGACAGCAAAGACATAATGCTTTAATGGATGATTTTCCTTAGGAAAAATTCTCCATCTACTTTACTCAATCACTGAAGAAAACACTCTTAATTTGTTACCAGGTATAAAAGTGCAAGGAACTTTTAACTCATCAGATAAAAACTTTAATGTGGGTTACAGTTGCAGGCTCAAAAAATACGACGATATTCCTTAAGAGAGATTTATTGCCTTTTTGAGTTACTTCCATTGATTTTTCATGGCTATACACCTATGTTTCCTGTTACACCACAATATCCTATTTTCTATTTGGATACTTATATTTTCTATCTGCCTTCTACTAACTCAAGTCTTTAATACATTTTTAATGGGTTTTTAGGGTGACCTTAGCAGATCAGGCCTTTGTTTCTTTCAAGTAATCTCAAGAGACAGCTGAGGCCAAGGTCAGCTTCTCTATTCTAAGAAATAGGGAAATAAAGTGCAGGTTAAGCGACAAGCCATTTTAGGGGTTATA